GCAGGATTACTGACTTCTTAGAGCTCTTGGGGAACTAAAACTTGCTATTCACTCACTCATTCATTCGACAATATTACTGTGCCTACCCTACTGGAGATACAGCAGTGAACAACACAGATCGGGTCTGCCTGGGGAGCTAACCACCTGGGGGTGCAGACCTGAAACACACAGAATGCATCATGAGGAATAAGTCTGGGCTGAGGCAAGGGTGCACTGAGTACAAGGCCTGGGAGGTCAGGATAAGAACTTTGTATTTGATCCCAAGAGCATCGGGAGGAGAGACACATTTCCATTTGGAAACCCGCTCTCTGGCTGCAGATAGGAGAGGTCAGGTGGACAGCTGACATGAGACCTCAGAGGGGAAAGGTGGCTGGAGGGGTGGGGGCACCTTGCCTCCCTTTGCACTTCTTCCCCCAGGGTCTTCCTGATGTCTGGCTCCTGCCTCCAGGCGCTCTGCAGGAATGAACAAGTGCCACGCCCAGCAGAGATTGCTGATATTCCAGGTGTTTAGGAATATTATCTCCCTGCCTTGAGAGATTACCCAGAGCAAGCGAGTGTGTGGGAAAAGGACCCCAGAGCCCCAGGCAGGGGTCCAAAGTACTGGGAGTATCCCGGCCCTTCCTGAGTTTGAGCTGGGCCTCAGGCCACGGGCTTCCCAGTGATCTTAGGTTCCCTCATCTGGTATCCATGGGACTAGTACTGAGTCTGGGCTAAATTCAAGTCCAGGCAGTATTTGACTGTAGAAGGACCCCCAGCTTTGGGGTCAGATAGGCTCGGGCTGGAGTCCTCACTTTGCCACATTGGAAGCTATGTGGCCCGATGCTGGCTACTTTGCTTCTGGAAGCCTGAGGCTGGCTGGGGGCCCACGCTTTGAGAACCACTGCCCTAGAATAACACCCCTCGGGGAGGAGGGCCTCTGATTCGCTCACTGCTATGCCCCAAGCAGGGCTGGCATTTATAGCAAATCCTAGCTGAGTGCTTGGGGGTCCTGGGCTCTGAGTGGTTTGTTTTGGCAGTGACAGGAATGGGTGGAAGGTGGGCGTGGGCCGGGAGATGTTGGTGTGAAACAGATCAGGAGGAGAATAGGGCTTCTAATGTGAAGGTGAGGAGCCGGGACTTGTGGTAGCTGAACACGGTCCCCAGAGATGTCCACATCCTCATTGCTGGAACCTGAGCACATTACCTTATGTGGCAAAAGAGGACTTAGCAGATATGAGTAAATTAAGGAATGTGGGATGGGGAGACTATCCTGGATTATCCTGGTGGCTCCTCAATATAGTCACAAGAGCCCTTATTAGAGAGAGGCAGGAAATTTGGCTACAGATGGAGAAGTTGTGACAAAGGAATTGAGAGAAACAAGGTATGAGAGGGGTCATGAGCCAAGGGGAGCAGGCAGTCCCTGGGAAATGGAAAAGGCATGGAAACGGATTCTCCTCCGCAGCATCCAGGAGCAACCAGCCCTGCCAATACCTCGACCTCAGATTCCTGACCTCCCAAATTATAAGAGAATTAATCTGCGTCGTTTTTGGCCAGCAAGTGTGTGGTCATCTGTTACAGCAGCCCACGAATGACCACCGATACCCAGAAGGAGCAGTGGAAGTCACTGAGCGGGGCCGGAGAGCACCCAAGGGAGGGGTGGCAAGGGGCGGGGTGAGGGCAACCCTTGGAGGCAGGAAAGGGCAGACAGAGGGGAGGACCAGCCAGCCTGGCTGGGCCACTCTCTCCTGGAGTCTCCCCTTAGCTGGCCTCCTGGGGCTGACTGGGCCCCACCCTGCCCCAAGGGCAGGCCCGGTTAGTCCCCGCAGAACTGCACACTCAGGGTGACACCTCCACCTACTTTTCAGTGATAAGGGCCTTTGGTCAGGTCAATGCTGATTTTTGTCCCCATACGGAGAACAGAAAGGACATACTATCGGTCATCAGGGAAGCTGGGAGCCAACCCTATGGAGGGCTACATGAGGCCCTGGATGCCCTGGCGGTCTCAGTGTAAAAATCAACGTCTGGCGGTTCATGGTTTCCTACACGCCCAGGCCCCCACCATGGTGTGAAGCCCTCCAACTGGTTCGCCGTCCTCCTCTGCCAAACCCCTCTGCCCACTGTCTCTGGAGCCTGGAGGATGGAGTGTAGCCACGGCCACACAGAATGTGTGCTCTGAAGACCCTGGCTCTGTGGCTGCTATGTGCAGCCCAGGCAGGCACAGCCTCTCAGCTGGCCTTGGCCTCACAGCCCCCCTCCCAGGGTGGCTGTGAAGATCGGAAGAAAAGGTGGGCAATAATACTCTGCAGTGTACCCAGGACCCAGAGGACAGCCGATAATGGGGGCTGCTGCTCCTGTAGTTGCTATTTCTCTTGCAGTTTTGGTGGACTCACTAGCCTGTGTCACTTGAGCAATTTACTTAACTTTCCTGAGCCTTGTGTTCCCATCTGTGAAATGGAGATGAAATAAGCACCGACTTCACAGGGTTGCGGGGAAAGTGACATGAGGCCACAAGTCCAAAGGGTCCAGTACCATCCTGAATGAATATAAGGTCTTTAATGTCTGCATTTAAGGCTCAGCTTGGAGGTTTGCTCCCTAGGATGGGCTCCCTGGGCCACGCACCACTCCTCTGGGCACCCAGCACACTGGGTTTCAATCAATGGTGTGTGCCACACCGAACTGCTGCCCATCTACTTCTTCAACTAGACCATGAGTGATCACAGGTGGCAAGACTGATGCTTGGGGTGGGGGCTTGCTTCATTTCCCTTTGCATCCTGAGCACGCAGCACGGGGGTGGGGACAGCTTGCCCACAGAATGATTATATGTAGAAGGAATGGCAAACGTGTACAAGTGGCACCTAGTGGTGCTCGATAAGTGTCAGCTGTTGCTGCTAAGTGCTTATTGAAATCAGTTCTCTAAAGATCGGGGCTGAAGGCAGCCTGTTCACCAGGGGGTCACACAGGTAAGAGCAGTGGAAAGTAGCATGCATGACTAGATGGAATAATGTCAACGGCCTTCTACAGGGTCTGCTTCCTGGGCTTTGGTCTTTGCTTCGTGATCTAACTTAGCTTTGAGCCCAAGGCTGCTTCCTGAATGAGGGAAGGATGTGGTCAGAGGGGTCCTTACCCATCAGGGCCAGATGTGGAAGGCTCCAGATCTACACTTTGGAGAGACATTGGTGAGTGGTTTGGAGGATGGATTTGAGAGAGAGAGTCTCAAGGTTGGGAGGCTGAATGCAGGAGCAATGAGGCTTGTTCCAGAAGGCTGGCAATAGAGGTATGGAGGGCCCGGGACCCAAGTCTATGGCAGGACAGTCCACACCTGGCTGCTGCAAGGACCAGAGGGGACATAAGGCTCAGGGCCAGTTTGACTCCCACCACGCTCCACAGGGACCAGAACCCAGAGGGTGTGGGTCTGCGGCATCCATCCAAGCTGTTTTCAAGACTGATGCTCAATTATTGAGAGGAGGCAAGTATCCCATTGCGGTTGTAGAGTCTGTTCACATCTCTTGGCTCACAAGCGCATCAGGCAACTCCGGGAGGTGAGCCAGGCAGGCTGCATGAGGACAGACCCCACACCCTATGAGAGGAGCAAACAGAAGCCCAAGAGGCGCAGGTACCTGCTCAAACTACAGAGTGAGTGAGGACAGAGCTGAGAACGGGGCTGTGCAGTTGACTTTCCATGCCTGTGCATCAGAACAAATGCCTCAAATGTCATTTCTGCACCCCTGGCGCTCAGCACAGTGCCCAGCATGTGGTGGGAAGTGGATAAATGTCTGCAAATGAATACACGGGTGGACAGACAGACGGCTGGACAGATGGATGGATGGGTGGGTGGGTCAGTCCCACAGACCAGCATTCTGGGAGGTAAAGACATGGTCTGTGGGAAGAGTAAGGAAAGCACCATTTGTGGAGTACTTCACATGCCAGGCATTGTACCAGCGCCCTCTCATTTACCTCTCCTCATGGCTAGAGCACCCACAGACCTATAAACGTCCTCTCCACACAGTGGGGGAGCTTTCCCAGGGCCACTCAGCACTCAGATCTTTGGCGGGGCTTCCTGTAATACCCTGCATTGGCTTTGCCACCAGTGCATTTATCTACAACTCATTTCAATCCTGTTTATCTTTTCAGCCTGGATACCTCTTGGGGGTAGAATCCTGGGGTATCCTCTCTCTTGCATCTCCTGTATGCCAAATATTCGGTGCTCTCCAAGCCTATGTTGTTTAGTAGCCTCCTAGATTTTGTTCTCTTCTCTTCACCTCTCTCATGGGCTAGTAGCACGTAGCACGTCCCCTTCACTGATGGCCCCATCTCATTCATCCTCTGGCCCACATCTTTCAGGGAACTAGAGATCTCTTTCCAAAGCAGAGCTGCCTAGGTTTCCCCTCACCCTTGCTTCTAATCCTTCCATCTTCCCTTAAAACCAACGGTGCAGGTTCTAAGCCCCTAACCTGACCTTCAAGGCTCAGCCTTCCCAACTTGGCCAGCCCTCTTTCTCATCTGACTTGAGCACCCCTAGCACAAGAGTTGGTGCATCATGGGTGCTCAGTGAACATGGACTGAGCTGGGTTTGCGGTTACCCCCAGGTGGCAGCATCAGTGCATCGCCATTTGAAGGCTATCCTGCAGAGCTTGGGTGAACACTTCAGATGACTAACCAAGTGGCAGAGTTGGGACTCAAACTTCAAACTTAGGACTCCTGATTGTAAGGACAACGTAGCCAGACAAAAGGACCTACAAGTTGTGGTGTCAAGGACCTCTGGCCAGATCCCAGCTGTGTGGCCCTGGTCAAGTTCTCTGAGATTTAACGTGATCCTTTAAAAATGGAAGTAGAAAGTTCTACCTCAGGAGGCCGTTGGGAGGATGGATCAACATGAGGTTTGCAAAGTGCTCATGAAGACTTCCCAGCACAGAATGTTCAACTAGCTCCTGGGGAACAGCCGTCCCCTTAATGGTGGCCACTAGTGGGACACCCCCCCTCCCCAGGCGCTTGTCTGGTACACAAATGGTCAGGGCAATTACCTGTCTGTGGCTCCTTGAGGGGCTGTGACCTCTGTCCCACTCCACACCTGGAGCTTCAGGGGCTTCTCTTCCTGCCGCATGGGTTCTCGACTTTGATTCCTGGCCAGCTGAGAGCTGCTCAACCTCAGAGAAGTTTCCTGGGCATTGTGGCTGGCCGGCCTGCAGCGGAAGAGCTGCTGGTATGCCGTGCGGAAATCTCTGTTCAGTGTGGCATACAGGATAGGGTTCAGGGCCGAGTTGGCATAGCCCAGCCACAGAACGACGGCTTCAAAAGCCTCATTGATGGCATCATCCCCTTTCAGCCCACGGTAAACAAACACAGTAAAGTAGGGGAACCAGCAGATGATGAAGGCTCCCATCACCGCAGCCAGTGTCACTGTGGCTTTGTGCTCCCCAATGGTAGCTGCCTTCCAGGAGCCCATGTGATGGATCCTCTTGGCCTGGTCCCGGGCAATCTTGAAGATGCGGTAATAGGTGATGCACATGACCAGCAGTGGCAGGTAGAAGGTGACCAGCCCATCCACCAAGCCATACACCAAGTTGACCTGGACTTTGCACTTGGGAATGGTGTGATTGAAACTGCTGGTCTCATTCCTGCTGTTCCACCCCAGATGAATAGACAGGAAGGACAGGGTGATGGAGATGACCCAAATTAAGACAAGAGAGACGGCGACCCGTACTGGGGTGATAAGCACAGGGTAGCGCAGGGGGTCAGTGACAGCGCAGTACCGGTCAAGGCTGATCATGAAGAGGTTGAGGATGGAGGCCGTGCACAGCATCACATCCAAGCTGGTATAGATATTGCAGAAGACTTTGCCGAAGCTCCACCTGCAGGATAGCTGGTAGAAGGCCGAGAAGGGCAGCACCAGGAGGCCAAGGAGCAGATCGGTGATAGCCAACGACACAATGAAGCAGTTAGTCAGACTGCGGAGCCGGCGGTTCAGGCCCACAGCCAGGCAGACCACCACATTGCCGGCGATGGTGATGAGGATGAGGACAGTGAGGACCACGCTGACAGTGATCCTGCATGGAGGAGAGTCCAGACAAAAGGAAGAGCCTGTGCCGTTAGATATCATCCTGGGACCCTACGGCTCCGGCCTCTGCCCACAGCCCCTGGCCACTTCTCATCCAGCTCCCCAGTGTGTCAATGATGTCAACCACTGGGCTCTAGGCTCCCAATGGAGCCAAAAGAAAATGTCCAGACGTGGGGAGGTTACAATAACTGCCCGACGACTGTTTTTCTAGAAATAAATAAAGCAGTCTCCTAGGAGGTATATTGGGCATGAGTATGAATGAAGAAGAGCAAAAGGAGAAAGTTCCTGGTTCAAATTCCAGTCCTCAAATCACCCCCTGCAGAGCCAGCTTCCTCCAGGGACTGGAGTAGGTCTCTTCTCTCCAGGTTTTGCATATAGACTGAGGCACTGGAGCATGTGTCTGGAGGTGGCTTTGGTTTTATGCGGGAGGGATCATGTGGAGATGTGGCCGCACCCTTCTCCATAGCTGGTGGATGCTCCTACCCATGTGACCGGGGTCAAGGACTGCTGCCTCTGCCTCTGCCTCTTAGGACCACTGGTGAACAGGAGCTGAAAATGCAAGCGTCAAGTGTTGAATACTTTGAAATCAGACCAAGAGCATGCCCAATTCAAGATGAATCCTTCTAGACTTTAACCTCCCTATGAGACACCAGGAGGCATAGGGCCAATCTGGAAACCTGTCCTTAGGAGGGACTGAACAATCAGGATGCACAGTGGGAGGAGGAAGGGAGGCAGGATGCAAGGGGCTGGACCACTGTGTCACCCTGTGAGATATGGTTGGAGGAGTAGGATGATTTATACTGGAAAAAGAAAGATCTGGACACAGACTCTAAACACAAGAAGAGGGGCTGCATCTACTTGTTCACTGCTGCTTCCCGGCACCTGACCCCACAGGTAGGCATTAAGCAACTGATGGATAGTCAAATGAGTGAATAAACAAGGAAATGTAATGAATTTGCCCTGATAAGGCACCGAGAACAGTGTCCGACACTGTTGGTTTTACAAAATATCATCGTACTGTAGAGCAGGAGCTGACAAACTTTCTCAGAAGAGAGCCAGGTAGTAAATATTTTCTGCTTTGCATTCCCCCAAGGTCTCTGCTGGAATTACCCAAACTCTGTCAGTGTAGCATGAAAGCACCTACACGGACAATGTGCAAATGAACGAGCATGTCTGTGCTCCTGTGAGACTTTACTATGGACACCAAAATTTGAATTTCACAGAGTTTTCACGTGTCACAAAGTATTCTTCTTTTGATTTTTTCCAACTCTTTAAAACTATTTCCAAACCATTTAAAAATGCAAAAGCCATTCTTAGCTCACGGGCTGCACAAAACCAGGCAGAGGGCCAGATTTAGTCTGTTGTCATAGTTTGCCAACGGCACCCCCTGCCCACATCTGCTCCAAACATCTCTCTCAGTCTTACTTTTCTTATTTAGCAGCAACACATGTGATCCATCAGCCAGCACAGAACTCACTCAGTCTCCCCAGTGGCTGCATAGCAGCCCACAGGGTGGCTGGCCAGAATTTATCCTATTTATGCTCTTATCACAAGTATTTTGGTGGCTTCCAGCTCCCTCCTCCTACCCTCCCTGCCTCCCATTCTTCCTACCTTCCTTCCACCTCTCCCAGCACAAACCCCACTTCAACAGAAAGGCTGCACACATAATACTTCTTGGTTAAATCCCAAAGATCCCCTCCTACTGGTGATATGCTATGATTCCAATTAATGAAAAACAAGTGAAGGCCCTGGAGATTCCCTTTCACACAAGCTGATCCTGGTTTTCCAGAGAGCAGCTAGCAGGCCGTCTACTGGGATCTGGGAGTGTGCAGAAACCAGAATGACAGAGGAACCCCTTTCAGAAGCAAGCTAATTGCCATGTGACACAAATGAAGCCTCTCCTAGGCTCTGGCCTGGAGCGGTTTTGCAACCTGAATATGAGAAGGATCATTTAATCGTAACCACTGTGTTGGTGCAGGGATCACGGCTCCTGGTCACCTGCTGCAGCTCCAGCTGGTTCAGCCACCAGGCCTTGTGAGCTGGGCCTCTGGGTATTATTTTTAGAAGATCTTTTCATTACATAAATAACGCAAGCAGCATGGCTCTCACTGGAACATCTAATTAACTGTGGAGGAGACAGCAGCAAGGCTATCTTTTTTGAGCATCCCTATTTCTGATAACATTTTTTTCTGAGTTTCTTAACAGCCAGGTGTAGATATTTTGGCCTGGGACTGATGTTTTAGTTAACGTTTGAGGTTTTCAAATCTGAACGAAGCATCCTGTCACATAATTCGAAATTCATCCTCCCCTCCCTTCTTCTTTCCTTCTCTCCCTTCCCTCTGTTCTTTCCAGCAAGTATTTCTTTCAGAACTCACAAGGTGTCAAATGCTGTTCTAGGTGCTGGGGGTACAATGATGAACAGAGCAGCAGCGGTTCCTTTTTTCACGGAGTTTCAAAGAAGAATCACTTCTGTTGTATTTCTATTGTACAGCCCAGGTCCCAGGGTTTCCGGTGACCTTTTGTGAAGGCAGAAACTTCCAAAATGGAGCTTAATCCATCCTTCATCTTGTGGGCAGAGTGACTGCCCTAGAGGCCATGACACCATAAGATCATTGTCACTGTTTCTCATCACAGATAAGAGAAAAAACACTTTCTTGAACTTTCCTTTTCAAACTTCCAAAGCAATGACATGCTTATTGCAGTAAACCAGTATCCTGAGGTATACAGAGAAGGCCAATGATTTGGGCTATCACACATCCAGGCCCTCATGCCCGGTGACTGCTGCTGATGGTTTGGTGTGATGGGGGCCTTCCATTCTTTCTCTGTGATTCTATGTGTACACGGGCACACAAGCTCTGCACATAACTTTGTTCCCCTAATTCCTTTATTGTACAAGGACAACACCCCTCTGGGTCACTTAGACCTCACTCATTCTTTTGAGAACCTACATCATGGCAATACAGCCTCTTATTGGCTAAATGTATGAAGGATGTCTGTGCCAGCAGGTTTGCAAGCAGCAAAAAGCAGGAAACCCCCACAGTGTCCAGCAGCAGGGGATGGCTTAAGATCATGGCACAACGTTACTGTAGGATTGCCCTGGGCATGGTGAGATCACATATTAAATGAAATGTCATTTCATCCTCACAATAACTCAAGTGTGAAGGAAATCATTACTCCACTTAATGCCGACAGAGTGAGGCTCAGAGAGGCCAGATGATGTCACAGGCCGAGTAAGTAGCCAGAGCGCCTGGATTCAAACTCAGCTCACACTCCTTCAGCCTGCCTTAGTGTCTGTGCTTAGATCAGACTTCAACCCATCCTTCCAGCTAGATCCCACCAAACACCCCTGTACTTGTCTCCTAACTGCCATTCAGGCAATCCAGCCTTTCTCCAAATGTATCACACCTTCTCACTCCTGCCTTTGTTGTCTCCCTCACCTGGAGCCTTGTTCTTCCCTGTATTCACTTGACTACTCTTCTCTCAAGGCCCTGCTTAAACATCTCCATTTCCCTGGAGCCTTCCTGAATGCCTGGAGGCAGAAGCATTCTCCCCTGTACTTTGTACCAAGTTATACTGTTGGCACCTGCTGCCTTGTAGTGTTAATATGGCTCTGTGTTTGCCCTCCCCACAGGGCCTTGATCTTGTCCTTCTCTCTTCAACCCCCGTCCACCCACCCATCCATCCATCTACTCATCCAATATTTTCTGTTATCTATATAACAGGAGAAGTACAGGGTACGTGGAGTGCAAGTGAGTGTGTCAGTGTGTGTGTGTGTGTGTGTGTGTGTGTGTGTGTGTGTGTGTGTGATTTCCCCACCTTGGAAATATATGGGTACTCACCTTGGGATTCAATGGGTCTGGGTAGTATCTGAACAGATATGTGCAAATGGGCCTATTTGCCCTGGCATTTTATGGTGAAAATTTTCACAAGCAAAAAGTTGAAAAAAAAAAAAAACCACAATACAATATACACGAAATCTTACCCAACTGTCCATGGAGATTAGATAAGTGTTCACATCTCATTCTGTGTGTTGCGTGTGAAAATCACGTGAAATTCATTAAGACAGCCTCCAGTCAGACCCGGGATCGAATCCCACGTCGGGCTCCTGGTGCATGGAGCCTGCTTCTCCCTCTGCCTGTGTCTCTGCCTCTCTCTCTCTCTATCTCTCTCTCTCTCTGTGTGACTATCATAAATAAATAAAAAAAAATTAAAAAAAAAAAAGACAGCCTCCAGTCACTCCCTCTACCCATCTCAGAGGCTGAGCACAGATGTCACAGCTGCTTCCCCTTCTCATCTTTGTCTTATAATAGCCTTTCAAAAGGCACCTTCTGGAGAATTTGCTCAGGGTTGCAGTACTCCTCACTGCCTCCGGGGGAGGCTTCTGACCTTTCCCTGTGGTTATCACCTAGCAAAAGCAGCCATAACAAAGGGCAGAGGCCTCATTGTGAGGCCACACTACCCAATTAGCCCTCAAGAGCTGCCCCAGCCCAGCGTGAGAAGTGCACTCACTGCACTCTGGGATATGTTTCAAAACTGCCGTGTTGGGCAGGGGGAGGTGTCTGACCACTTTCCATTACTAGCTTTGGTTGGTCTCTAAGTTTAGATCCTTGACCTGACATTCCAGGCTCTTCGTGACCAGGTTGTGACCGGGTTCTGTCTTTCGTCTCAGTTCCTGCCTGCCCTGCACATTTTTGTGTCCTAGGACAGCACTTTGAGAAACACAGCTCTGGTGACACTGAATTCCTCTGGTTTTGAAAGTGCCAGGTCCATTCTGACTCCTTGCCTTTGCATAAGTGGTTCCCCTCCCCCTGCCTGGAGTGCCCGTCCCCCCTTCTATTGCCTGGTGAGCCCTCGTTCTCCCGTAAGACTTGGCCTCCTCTGCTCACACAGCCCAGAAGGCTTCCAGAGGTACTTGCTCCATGCCACCTCCGGCACAGGGTTGGGCTTTCTGGGGAGCAGTGGGTAGAATTCGGGAATCTCAGTGCCCCAGGAAAACTCTCCTCCTCGGGGCAGGGGGTCCTTGCTGATTCATTATCAGAATGTGTCTCCCCAGGAACTGAATTGTGTTGGCTGGGGTCCAGAACATCATTTCCCACCTCGTTCCTCCCATGTAGCACAAAGTAAAAGAACACAGAGGCTTGAGGCTCGAGGGTCGCCCCACCAGCACAGATGTAGCCCAGAGGCAAACCCAGGTCTGCCTTGTGCCTCAACCTCCCTCTCAGTGTTCCTCACAGACAAAATCCCAGAAGAAATGCCACTGGTGATAGGTTCTGTTCGCTAAAAAGAGGGATGAGGCCATCCAGAAAAGCCGCTAGGCTAGGGGCTCAGGTCTTTTCCCTTTCAAATTTTATCAGAGTCCAGCACTTTCTTTTCCCTTTTTTACTGGAAGTGAAGTGAAGTTTCCCTTTTAAGGTTTAAGTACCACAGCTCCAGGCACAGCCCCTCGGGGAGCTGGCATTGTGCAAACAGCCAACAATTTGGGGGGATCAGTTAAGGCTTGTCTGATTGGGTTTCGCATCCGGCCTGACAGATAGATCTGATTTTCCAAG